TAACGATGAATAAATAAATTATTATCCACAAACTGATAACTGGTATCATATGCTGATGCAGTATTCATTAGCCTACCAGTAATAGCATCATATATTCTTAGTATGTAATACAGTATAGGTACTCTATCATCAACTGTAGGAGCAGTCCATGTTATATCAATAGTAGAACAGTTGTCAATTGAAGAGTCAATGTTAGTAACTGGACCAAGAAAACCTAAAGAATAAATTAGTGCAGCAGAATGCATGTACTATAAATTAAAGGAGTTTACATACCAAATGTAGATGACATGTTACCAAATGTTCCTCCATTATTACTCAATGATACATTAACAGTAAATGTATTTAAATTAGATATTGAAGTACTTCCAGTTAAAATCATCAGTTGATCATTAAATTGTGTTGGTATACTGGTATTCTTTATTACTGCATTATCAGTATTCAGTATAATAACTGTTATACTATTAGGATACTCTCCTTTACATAGCGTACTGACCTAGTGTTGTGGGAATAAGGTGAACTTATGTTATCAAAAGGTACGTGTTGTTATGTAAACTACCAGCTGCACTACTGCATGATTTACTAACTGTGTAATGAGTTTACTTACCGAAATATTGATCTTTAGTAAGATTTGTTGTCCATCAATTACTGGTACCACTGATACAGGAGGAGTAATGAGAGGAACTGAAACATACACTGTGAACATATACATGAAGCCATAGTAATGCTAACCTGCTTCATAATAAAAACTGATATTATTAGATGAACCTATTCCAACATCATTAATAGAAGAAACTGATACATTATTTAATATACAAGGATCAGGATTAGTAGCTGATAATATAATACTCTTGTTAGTAGTAGTAATGTTCACTAATCCATTGACTATATAGTATCCAGTGATAGGTACATTATCCAGTGTATAAGGAGCTGTCCATGTTAATAATACACTGGATCCATTAATAAAGGTATAATCCAGATCAACAACACTATCCAATAGACCTATAAGGAACATATATTCACAATATATACAGGAACACACTAACCTTGTATCGTTAATACTACTGTATTACTGGTTACTGCCCGAAGAGGACTGAGAGTAATAGCTGTACAATTTATTTCAGTATTATTATTATGTTCGTAAGCTATTGCTTCCAGCTCTGCTCTTATAGTACCAGTACCACTTGATGTTACACTAAATCCTTTAGCTGTAACATCTGTATTAGAATCTGGTAGATTATTAACTCTGAAACTGAGAGCATCAGCAGTAGCTTCACAAGAGAAGACAACAGTAGAGTTGAGTGTTGTATTAATAGACACTGGCTGAAGCGTTATATCTATAGTTACAATGAATTGAAATAATGTAGAATTCCAAACAGATACTTACTAGCACAATCAATGTACTGCAGCCTCGAGTGCAGCAGAAGAAGGAATATTAGATTCAGCATCCTTTTAAAGAAGGGCGTGACTGGAACACTAGGATTTATTCATTATGCGAGCGCGGGCTAGATAGAGTATACTAGATAGAGCCAGTACATTCCTGTATTCTATTGTTATGAATATTACGCGTATATACGGTAGGTAACGCGACGATAATGGCCTGGGTTACAGTGCTCGCTTTATCCTTTCTATTTTATTTCATTGAGTTGACTCATTGTGCCAGTAAGTAGATCTATCACCATCTAAAAAGTTTTACAAAAGTAATGTAACTATAGATATAACGCTTCAGCCAGTATCTATTAATACAACACTCAACTCTACTGTTGTCTTCTCTTGTGAAGCTACTGCTGATGCTCTCAGTTTCAGAGTTAATAATCTACCAGATTCTAATACAGATGTTACAGCTAAAGGATTTAGTGTAACATCAAGTGGTACTGGTACTATAAGAGCAGAGCTGGAAGCAATAGCTTACGAACATAATAATAATACTGAAATAAATTGTACAGCTATTACTCTCAGCCCTCTTCAGGCAGTAACCAGTAATACAGTAGTATTAACGATACAAGGTTAGTATATGTGTGTGTGTGTGTGTGTGTGTATCGACCTCTATAGAACTCACCATATAGCTGGTAATTTTGGAGGGGATATTTTGTTGAATTCGGCATTTGACCATTTGTCAAAATAAAACTTGTCATTTTGTACCATTATACGCATGCTCAATGGCACATGGACACAAATTTGCCAAATTGAAATCCACTAATCACTTATATTTTTAGCAATTTATCCCCTCCAAAGCTACCTGCTGTACGGTATACATGTACATTATGTCAACAAAAAACAGTAATGGGTGTGGTCAAGATAGCACTATGTTATAATTGTACTTCTTTAGGTCTATTGGATAGCGTTGTTGATCTGGATTATACCTTTATTAATGGATCCAGTGTATTATTAACATGGACAGCTCCTTATACACTGGATAATGTACCTATCACTGGATACTATATAGTCAATGGATTAGTGAACATTACTGCTACTAACAAGAGTATTATATTATCAGCTACTAATCCTGATCCTTGTATATTAAATAATGTATCAGTTTCTCCTATTAATGATGTTGGAATAGGTTCATCTAATAATATCAGTTTTTATTATGAAACAGGTTAGTCCTACTATGGCTTCATGTATATGTTCACAGTATGAATAATTTTTAAGAGGGTATTTTTCTGTCTGATTTAATACAACTACAGTCTGCTTTTATATGTACATGCATTGTAATACCTTGTACTGTTATTGTTTTCAAAGATTCCTGTTTTATTGTATGATGACTAAAGAAGGAATTCATTATTGTTGGCATTACTATAGTGTACGTTTAGCATTATTTGAAAATAATGTTCCATAATCCATAACTAAACTAACTTATAGTAATGAGCTTCAATTTAAAGTTTGTATTACAGTAAACATTAGCCTCTTTCTCTATAGCGTACACCTCCACTTAACGGGCAGCACTTAGTGTACCAATTACATTCCTTACTGTATAAAATAACCTCCACATAAAGGACACCTCTGTATGACAGAGCAACTTTCTTGACCCAAAGTATCCATTATAAGAGGCTATATTGTAGTGTTGTGTAGAAAGATGAGTAAATTATAGTATTGATAAGTTAGTACATGTATGTTTTCTCACATGACTACTCGTTTAACTTTTTATTGATTATTATTTTTCAGTTCCTCTCATTACTCCTCCTGTATCAGTGGTACCAGTTATAATTGATGGACAACTAATATCATTGAATATCAGTATTAATGTAAGTAATTACATAATTTTACATGTTTGACCCTGATTGAGTACATGAGACTTGTAAATGTCGTCTCAATAGTTATTATTGTGGTGGGTGGTGGTTATGTTGCGGCTAGTCAACATGTTGTTACTTCCCTACATTATATTATCAAGGGATTGTTTATATACATGTCAGTTACTGCACTTGCAATTTCTTATATTTTTTTATACCAAATATTGCCATTACTGTCAATATAGTGTGTCATCATTTAATGAGTAGTAACAGTGAAAATTTATTATTTCTTCCTTTATGCTAATAGGTCAGTGTGTTATGTATTGGTGAATATCCTAATAGTATAACGGTTAATATACTGAATACTGATAGCACAGTAGTAAACAGTGCCAGTATACCAACACAAGTTAATGATCAACTGATGATTACTGGAGTAATAACTGTACCTAATAATTTAAATACATTTATTGTTAATGTATCATTCAGTAACCTTGGAGGAGAATTGTTACCTACACCTTCTTTTGGATTTGGTAATAATTTATAGCATCACTCATGACTGGTATATTTTTTTACTTCTTTCATTGTTAGGTAAAGTTGGTCCAGTTACTAACATTAATTCTTCAATTGACAACTGTTCTACTATTGATATAACATGGACTGCTCCTACAGTTGATGATAGAGTATCTATACTGCTTTATATACTAAGAATATATGATGCTATTACTGGTAGTCTAGTGACTACTGTATCAGTAGATGACACCAGTTATCAGTTTATGGATAATAATTTATTTATTCATCGTTATACATATGTTATAACTGGAGTTAATGAATTAGGAGAAGGAATATCTAATAATGATACATTCTCATATCAAAGAGGTACAATAAACAATAATTACTGAATAAATGATTTTATGTTTATTTAGTACCAAGATCGGTTAAAAGAGCTGTTTTGTGTATGATAGCATTTAATCAAACTAGTGCTAATGTTTCCTTCAATATACCAGTAATGCCATGTTACTAGTATTAGAACTAACTATTGTTATAGGTCATAGTTGAGTGTACTGGTGAAGCTCCTGGAAATGCTACAGTTACTATACAGTGTAATGGAACTGGTGTTGTATATACTGATACTATACTAGTGGGATATGCTATACAACCAATGAATATAACAGTATCAGTACTAGTACCACTATATCAACAGTGTAATATCACTTTTATAGTTAGCAATGGTGCTGGTAGTAGTGAGCCATTTATACTACCATTTGGTAAGTATTCATTCATATACTTATGTGTATTAAAACTATTATTTTTATTAAAATTGTTTTAATAGTTGCAACTATTCTTCCTACAACATCATCAACAAGTGTCTCATCAACTTTATCTCCAACTGTTTCAACAATAGCATCATCATCAGGTAATTCAGCTTATATTTAATTCACTGAGTAATTGGTTCATTATGTAGTTCTCATTATGAGTGTTGCTGCTGCTGGTGGTTTAGTTGTATTGCTTGTGATTATAATTTTTTGCTGTTTATCACTGAGATTATATCATAAAAAGAAACTGCGCAATGAAAGAAGTTAGTGTCTTATTTTAGTCAAAAATATTATAATTATAAATAGAAGCTTCTGAGTCACATGGATTGCTTAATGAGCGAATTTCATTTGATGGAGTAAGCTTTTATTATGTATTTGTATTTTTAATAATTATAATAGTCTTCTGCCCGTTCATCAATAGGCAGTACTACTGAGGAGACAGTATGCTTATAAAATAAAAGAATATTTTGTTTATTTTATTTGTTTTAGAAACTCAGTCCTTCACAATCAACAAATAGCAATGAACCTCCTGCTAATACTACAAAGGAAGCTACTACAGGAGGAGCAGCTGCTAAAGAGCCGATATATTCAGATTTAGGAGTAGCACCTGCAACTACTAAATTAGCAAAACCTGAAGCACTATCAGTTGAATATGCTGACATTGATAAAATTGTACCAAGATCTAAAGCCACTGCTCAACCACAGTCTTATGATGATGTGGTAGTATCTGCTAGTGGTACTACTGTAATTGGAGCTACTGGAGGAGATTCTAATCTACCAGCAATACCTGATAAGAAAAGTAAAAGAGCTGCTACTACTGGACAAGAAGGTACCAATGATGATATGGTAGTATCTGCTAGTGGTACTACTGTAATTGGAGCTACTGGAGGAGATACTAATCCACCACCAATACCTGATAAGAAAAGTAAAGGAGCTGCTACTACTGGACAAGAAGGTACCAATGGGGAAACTGATGCTGCAAGGAATTTACCTCATCATGTTAACGATGGTAAATAATTACATATATTTGATATGATTTTATTTATTATCTTCTTCAGATTCACATTTTCCCTCTCCTCCTCCTCCTCCCCGTCCTCCTCATCCTCATCCTCCTCGTCCTCCTCCCCCTCCTCCCCATTCTCCTCCTCCTGGGAGTGGGGAAGGAGGAGTTCAACCTGGTTTTATTGCTGCAGATCAAGCCACTGCAATAGTATCCTACTTGTAATGCGTGCTACACAAAAGCTTCATGCATACCTTCTCAATTTATTTAGTATAGAACTGACTCATGTTGCTTTGTGTTCTACTTTGTCAATTTATATGCCTTCATATATATTTTTATATTTTTTCTCCATAGATCAGCTGATATTAGAAAATTTTTAGATTTAAAAACCTATAGCTGTGTGATTACCTTTTGTTTTTTTATCAGCTTATCATTTATTAATTGCATTTATTAGACCACGCCCGGTTGAGTTATTAATAGTCTAGCCCCACCCGTCTGACCAGTTTGCACTTTACATGCAGCAGAAATAATTGAGGATGGAATGCTCTTCTTTTTCACTGATCCTGTTCTCTTTTCTCACTGTCCTTTTGTCCTATTCTCTTGCTGCAGCTACCAACTGCACTGGTAAGATACTCCGCATGTTCAATATTATTATTATGTGCAATATCAGTGAGAAATGTGACCTTAGTGTGTTATTAATAGCATTTGTATAGTGTGATATTGATAATGTGCTATGGTTTTACCAAATGAAAGCAACTCCAAAGTGCAACTAGTTGTTTTTGCTTAATACTAATGCTAATATTAATAATATAGCAAGCCTTCAACAGAATATGATTGCTTAATTAATCGTGTCATATTTGTGTGAACTGTTATTTGTTATAATAATGATATTCATTGCTATAATAGTCCCTTGAGACAATACAATACCACCCCCTAAAGATTAACACTGACAGAACACAGTATATACCTATAAGAGTAATGTTCATTTTGTGTAATAGTGTAATGGAGTAATTGTGTTTTATGGTTAGTTATACTGCAGTGTTGGAAAGTGGTTGCTGCATTATAAAGTTGTTACTTATTAATAAATTATTATTATTATTATTATTTATGTTGTTGTTGTAGTTGTTTAGTGTTAAATGTTTATTTTATCAGTGGTAGGTCTAAAGGAGAGAGTGAGAGATTAATAAACAAACAACAATAATTGTAAACAAATAAAAATAAATATAATATTAACAAAACTGACGCTTCTCTCTCTCCTCATCTCTCTTTACTATAAACTTTAAAATGGATACACTATATACTGTATAGATACCATTAATAGATGCACTGTATACTGTATAGATGCCATTAATAGATGCACTGTATACTGTATAAATACCATACACAGATACACTATTCCCTTATGAGATGATATCCTATTCAAAAAGTATGCACTGTCTATTATGATACATGATCAGTATATTGTATATTAAAGGAGGTGTTACCACTATATAATGTTAGGATGATATTACATATGTCACTGAATTTATTCTTGTATAGATGATATAATAACATTTGTCACACCCTCTGTAAACTTCATTGGGGACATACCACATGGCGACTGGAGATGTCTTACCTTAAATACTCCAAACACTCAAGTTGATTGGTTACATAATGGCACTGTCATTAGTAATGGGACTGTATCAACACTCAATGAATTAGAGTGGACTCCATTGCATGATGTAAGTCAGACTGGTATCTATACTTGTCGTGTGACTACAAGTGATGGGACTAACTGTGGAAATAAATCTGTTTCGTTATATGTGATTGGTAAGTTAAAATGATGTTATAATGTACCAATATAGCCATTTTATTACTTCAAACTCATTTTTCCTTTTTCCTCTTCCTCTCTTTCCTTCTCCTCCTCCTCCCTCCCACCAGATCCTTCACTAATAACAGTTCCATTACACCAGTACACAGTGGTCAATAGCTCTTACACTCTACAGTGTGACTCATCAGTATACACCATTGACAATACAACATGGGCTTTAATTACTTCAATGGATCCAACACCTTATGATAACTCAACTGATGAAGTAATAAGTCATACAATAGTACCAGGAACATTCAGCAGTGCTCAGCTAATGGATGATGGACTGTACCAGTGCAATGTATCACTCTATGGGAGGAATAGACTGTACAATACTACACTACATGTTATTGGTAAGATTATTATTAATAATAATAAATGTATTTATATTTATTCTTTTTCTTTCATAGTTCCTCCTGTCATTATATCTTTTCCTTCACCTAAAGTCCTAGCCTTTGGTCCTAATATAACTAACTACACTGTCACATTTACTAGTACCTCACCTACTGGCAGGACTACAGTCACTTGGTATAAAGGGAACAGTCCAGTATTACAAGAGATTGTTAATACAACCAGTGGTATAGGATCAGCCAGTCTACCTGTATCAATGAGGAGTGATAGTGGAAGCTATGAAGTGAAGGTGGAGACTGATTTTGGTGATCAGTTAACTTATGTACCTCACAGTATACGATTGGTCAGTGAGACATCATATTCATTTGATATTGATGTAATTGGTAAGTTGGTAAAATACTTTGTACTTTTATGTATGTACATATGAACATACATTATATGTAGATATGTTCTTATTATTATTATTATTCTCTTTTTTCTATCAATCCATATAGTGTTTCCTTCTCATCCAGTAATTTCAGCCACTCCCTCATCATTCAACAGTACCATCCATTGGATGCACACTAACCAATCTTTGGATGATTTACCTGAGTCTATAAAGCTGGTCCTTTTACTGGATGGGATGCTGATTCACTCTGTTAACATATCAATCAATGATACTTTGTTGAACAGTTTTACTTTCGTTAATTTGATACCAGCTACTCAATACAGTGTGAGACTAATTGTTGCTAATAAGGACAGGATTAGCTCTTCATCACTTCTGACTAACTTCACTACTTTATCATCAGGTAAGAATTTTTTTACAAATTTTTTAAGTTGCTCTAAAATCAAACCAAAGCCTGTACTATAGTATAGAGTCTTTGGGCAAATTTCACCAAAAATGACTAGGAGAAATTTCTCAATTTTGATAATTTTTTTCTGATACATAAAGATGTTTTCATGATGTTTTTTAAGTTTGAGTTGATTCCGATCAAATTTAGATTTTTTACAAATTTTTTAAGTTGCTCCAAAATTGGGTCAAAAACCATGGGCTATAGTACAGGGACTTTGACCAAATTTTGCCAAAAATGACTAGGAGAGATTTCTTAATTTTTATAATTTTTCCTGATACATATACATGTTTTTATGTTGTTTTTCAAGTTTGAGTCAATTCCGATTATATTTAATTTTTTTACAAATTTTTAAGCTCCTTCAAAATTGGGCCAAAGTCCCTGTACTATAGTACAGGGTCGTGGGCCAAATTTCACCAAAAATGACTAGGAGACAATTCTCCATTTTATATTACATTTTTTGATGCATATACTTGTCCTTATGTATTTTTCAAATTATTTTATTTTATTTTTTTAGTTCCTTCCATCAATTCCTTATCTGCTGTTCGGGTAAGCTCACTTCTCTTCAACATAACCCTTCGCTTTAATTACTATGGTGGGCGGGACATTAACGACATTAAATTAGGATACAAGTCAATTGAAGGAGCTAATAATCATTATATATTCATTGATAATTTGGACTGGAAACGACAGGGGCTTACCCACACTGCTCTAGTCTCAATCAATGACACCAACATACTCAGAGAAAAGATTATACTGTTTGTACGAGTTACCAATAGCAACGGGAAAAGTGCTGACTCTAACACTATACAGGAATATATAAGTAAAAAATAATAAATAATTAAAATAATTGTGTAATTTAATGACGGACATTATGTATTAATAATATTCCTCTAATTTCCCCCTCTATTAATTCCAGAACCCCTAGGACCCCCCAGTCCGGTATCCTTCCACTCGATATCAACTGATTCAGTTATACTAGCAGTACAGCTGCCATTGATTGGTTCTCCTCCAATTCTCTCTCTCTCTGTCTCTCTCTCCAGCTTCAGACACAATCACTCACTCCTCATTAATGACAGGATTTATTCATTAGGGGAGGAGCTTGTGATATTTAGCAATGAGAGCAGTAATGGAGGGGGCCCACTGATGAGTGGTACCACTTACAATGTAACGATATCGGCAGCTAATTTATTAGGGTGGAGTCAGCAATCCTCACTTCCTGTCTCATTCACTACTAGTAAGTTCTATTATTAGTAACATTAGTCAACAATGTCATCCTATTCATGTATTGATTGATGGGTGGAGTTCCCCTTTCTGTAAAAAGTGCAAACAATAGGTGTCGAGTAGTTTCAGTTTGGTTCCATTTAATTGCATGAGGCAGTGAAAAATGATCTATATTATGTTACATGTATGCATATCACTGATTATATACTACAATAGTACATTATATTTTATACAATACTTATTCACTGTAATAATCATTATTTTCTTTTTATCACTTTTTAGTATTTGAAGAGTCGATACCGACAGCTAGTGAGTTCCAATTGCAACTTTTAAAAATATTTTTTACAATTTCCCCGTGATAATTTTTGTCTGGGGAATAGAGTATCATATTCTTTTGGGAAATTTTGTGCCACTAATGATTAACATGTAACTGCTTCTCTCTCTTCTTTAGCTGTTGCTGAGTCATCAAGACTAGAAGTATCACTGTCGATTGGCATTGGTTTGGTTCCTGTTGTCTGTTGTACTGCTGTTATTATTATTATTATATCTTGCGCTTGTTGTTCAATGAAAAAGAAAAATTGTAAAGACATACCAAAGAATGGTTATGCAGTTACACCAGGTGAGATAGAGAGAGGGAGAGAGAAGGGGGAGAAGCAGGAGAAATAAAAACACATTATTATTAATTTATTATCCATATTTTCTTATTACAGTTGCTGGAAGTATACCCTCTAATAATAACGATGAGTAAGTTACTGTACATTATCATAATTCATTATTATTGTTATAATTTCTTTTAGCATTCAGATACAGAAGTTTTTCTCGACCCCGCTAGTTCCCAGGCCCCCTACAACGGAACCGGCTGATACCTCAGCCTATGACTCAGTTCATGATATTGATACTGATTCTGATACAACGCAGAGTCTGAGCCCTAAATATAAATATGTTATATCTCCTACTCCATCAGAGATTGGGATAAAGGGATATGTTAGCTCAGTCCCTGGGAGTGGTACTTACATTTATGTCTAACTAAAGATCTTTATACTGGCACTGGTAAGTGTTTACAGAATAAGCTGTTTCTTTTCTCAGTATATTTGTCAGTTTTTGTCCAAAAAGCATAAGCTATATTGTTAATGATTCTAAAACATGGACTCCAAAATCATCCCTAATTTTTATAATGCTTAGTCATATTGATGTCTTTATGCTGTGTAGGAAGTTTTAGCTGATTCAGATCTTAAACTTTTAAGCTATGAGTCCCTCAAAATCCCTCCTGAGTTTGTATTGTCAGCCAATGCTTGCTTGAGTGATTTTTTGGCAATGACTGTATCAAAATGTATGTTGTTGTTGTTTATGTGTTAATGTTTGTTTGTGTTTATGAATCATTGTTATGCTGTAACTATGATGTAATGTTTATTTTAATGAAGTGAGCTTGTGTCTGGTTGTCAAAATTCATAAAAAATCCAAATTTGATCGGAATCGGCTCAAACTTGAAACACAACATAATTACATGTATATGTATTAGGAAAAATTATTAAAATGAAGAATTCTCTCCTAGTCATTTTTGGTGAAATCTGGCTGACGACCCTGTACTATAGTACAGGGACTTTGACTCAATTTTGGAGCAATTTTTAAAATTCATAAAAAATCTAAATTTGATAGCAATCAGCTCAAACTTAAAACACAGCATAAGAACATGTATATGTATCAGAAAAAATTATAAAAATTAAAAATACTCTTCTTTTCATTTTTGGCAAAATTTGATGTACTATTATAGTACAGGGAGTAATAGAGATTCTTCAAGTATAAGGAAAAGGTAGTGCTTTATTGGTTATTATTGTGTGCAGTTAGTTTATCATAAACTGTAATTACATGTAACTACATGTAATTGAAGCATTCACTAGTCCCATGATTATATAGCACTGTTAATACCTTTAGCCTATTGTAATCTAGAGCTACTGCAGTAATATCTTAGTGTAGGGCAGCTGGTGAGTGAGAATAGGAGGGATTAGTGGCTGCTGGCATTTAACCACAGCCTTCCTTTTTATACTTAGCTATCAAAACACAACACTAGCTACTTGTAATGTAACACAGTCCAATGTGGATGAATGTGGATAGAACGGGAGTTTTTGTAATTTCTAAGTATTCTGTGATATTTTTTCTTTCTCTTTTATACAGCTTTTTCATTCTCACCAACTCTCTGGCAATTAACCCTCTTATCACTTTGTTCAGTAACATGATGCTTCAGTTATATATTCACATTTTTATTTCCTTATTATTATTATTTTTTACATTCTTATTTGGCATATTTTTTATTACTTTAAAAACTTCTTATGTTATTGTCATCACTCTCTCCTTTTAAAGATTTTTTATGCTATAAAGTACATTTTAACCATTAATTATTTACATCATTGATCAAATTAATATATTGCTTTACTTTTTATTGTTATTTTTAACTGTGAAAACTGTTCCTGAAAAGTTAGAACCAAAGTTCTACACGTGATAATTGATTTAATTTACGTGATAATAAATAATTAATTAATATCTTAACATCCGCTGGAGTCAATTATAAAAAGGCTTCATCATTAGCCTAATAGCCTCGTGTTGTTTATTATTTAGAAAAAGAGTGTTAAAAGCAGCAGCTCTTTCTTTCTTCATCTCCCTTTCCTCTCTCTCTCTTGTCAAGATGTCCCAATCACATCTGTTAACCTTGTTAGCACTTGTAGCTATCATATCTGCACCAGTACAAGGTAAGATTGTCTAGCACCACCTTCAGCTGGTCATTCTCCCTCTCTTTTCTCCTCTCTCTCTTGCTCGTAGGAAACTTAGTGTGGGTGTATACTACTAGCTCAGAAGTATTATTGCAGCCATTCTCTGGAGAGTCTTTCACCATTTACTGTTTCACTGATAATTCTAGTCATGATTCACTCTCCTTCAAACTCAACAATCAAACACTCTCTACTAATGATGAAGTTACAATAGAGACTGTACCTTTACCTTCACATGCTGGCAAACAGCTTCAATTGACAATAAATGCATTCAGTATGGCCACTGCAGGCATTTTAACATGTCAAGCACATTCTGATGGCAGTGTGATCCAGGAAATAGATAAAAATATTACTGGACAAAGTAAGCAGAAAAAAATCAATGATACATCTTGTTAGCAAAAAAAGAGAGTTTATTTATTTATGTATTTATTAATTTATTTATTTATTATACTGTTCTTTTGTTTGTTGTTATTTTTCAGATTATTCTCTCTCTATTGTCGGAAGTGGTTCTATTATTGAAGGACGTGATGCAGTGTTGTACTGTCAGTTCCACAGTCCTGGTAGGAATGCCGATGGCTACACCTGGAAAGGAAAGAGAAATGAGAGCCAAGAATTGTGAGTGTTTGTAAATGTCAATATAAGCATATTTCTCTCTCTCTCTCTTTTCAGTGTTTTATTAGACTGTAATTCAAGTACACTTAATGTTATTAATTCTTCGTTGATATTTGACGAATATTCTTGTGAAGTATCCGTTACACCAACCGATTTTAAACTAACAACCAATAGAACAGTCACTACCTACTGTAAGTATTATTAATATTGTATTTCATACAGTGCTAGGTTATACAGATTAATTTTATTGAGGCAGTTGTGTTGATGTATTGGATTACAGTGTACATGTAGAACTGATCAAGCATCAGTTGATCTGATACTTATAAGTTAATTTGCACCTCCTGTCTGTCTGCCTTTGGGTCACTGATCAACTGGTCACACTCAACCCTGTCTATATTGATAGTATGATCTTAATATGGGGACACTGCACACTGTATGTGTGCAATGTATTGATGATGTGTGTGTGTGTGTGCTGGTTGCTTCCAGTTTGTGAGGTTTAATTCATTCATATGTTTTCTATGTAAACTAAAACCTTTCATTCACACACACAAGTTCTTATTACTATAATACATTATCTCCCTCCCTCTCTCTCTCTCTCAATCTTGTCTTTCGTGTTTTTTTGGTGCACAAGTAAATTGCCTGTTGTTTTTTTAAGTACATTTGCAATAACTGTATCATTGATTATCTTTCAATATATTAATTTTAAAATTAATATCACTCTCTTTTTTCCCCTCTCCAGTTATTCCTGAATTGACTGCTAACAGTACAATATCCAGTACTGCATTGATTGGTGATAACATTACACTACATTGCTCCTTCACTGGAACTGGCCTAAGCTATACTTGGTCAAGACAAGATGGTGTCCCTCTCCCTTCTCTTAAAACCCTCACCCTGTACAATGTCACCTATGCCAGTGCAGGGGTATACCAGTGTGTGGCAAGTAATCTGGCTGGGAATGAGACACAAATACATAATGTAACTATAGAAGGTAAGAGCATGGGGGAGAAGGGGAAATTAAAAAAGGTAGAGAGTGGGAGAGTAAACCAAACCAATCATCAAATAGTACACTCTTATATTGAACCTGTATCATACTCTTGTTAATATGATTGGTTACATTTCCTAGTCAGTTTGTCTATATTAATATGGTCTGTGTTAGTCCCGAGAGGTTAGGAAGTGGTGTACATTCACTGAGATACTGTATAACTTTAAAGGATCTTTGATGTGTGTGCATGTGACTCTAAACCATTGGAATATCCTATACCATAATAGAATGGTCATTGATTGCTACTAGGATTGAGTTACTGTAGAATAAAAGTATTTCTTTGACATTGTTATGGTGCTTGTTGTCCTCAAGAGTGATTGCATGACTATGACTGTATGTGTTAGTATGTATATTTTGCCAACAAATCAGTTTAGCTGTTCCATTAATTGTGTGTTGATAATCTCTTTCTAACTTAAAGTCATTATGCTATGATCATCAATCCTTTGCTTAATTATAATGTGAAGTATGATTCTGCCCCATTAGCTCCACTAAAGAGCTATGGAGAGAGAGAGAGGGAGGGTCAATCGGCCACACACGCTCTATCACGTCAATAAAGACCACACAGTTAACTAATCAATCCCTTTTTCACTCTCTGTGTTATGCTATACTATGAATTCTTGTGTCCCTCCATTTGTTGGTATTTCCATTAGCTTGTCTGATAGTAAACGTATACCTCTTGAGCAATCTTTCTTTACTATCCACCAGCTCACTGGTTGTGTGGGAGACGAAGTGTCAGTGGATGAGTGAGTGAGAGAAAGCCAGAAAGTGATGTACTTGTACAGGGAAATGCTCTTCAGTGATTTGTACTGCATATCCTCATGTTGTACTAGAGGGATTGGAATGTAGCGTGTACATATTGTGTGTGTGCCTTTGATAGTTTGAAGGTGATTTTTTGTTATTGTAACAATAAATTAAATACATTTCTACAATTGTTGGGATTTGAACACTTTTCCATGTGTTTCAGTTGTCATAATGTACACACACCCCATCTCTCTCTCTCTCTCTCTCTCTCTCTCTCTCTCTCTCTCTCTCTCTCTCTCCCTCTCTCTCTCTCTCTCTCTCCCTCTCTCTCTCTCTCTCTCTCTCTCTCTCTCTCCCTCTCTCTCTCCCTCTCTCTCT